TTTTCAGAGTGCGTGTCTAATGCCACGCACAATTACTGGAAAAATAATTTTTGTCCCCCCCCCCCCGAACGGTTCTTTGTACCCCACTGCCAGGTACTGGCAGTGGGGTACAAAGAAACTTTGAAAAAAGCTCATTTTTGAATTTTTAGCGGGGAGGGAGGTGAGTTTTAGCACACCACCCTCGCGTCTCAAATTATGTTGTCTACCACTGTTTGTAGTCAGTTTAGGTTCTAGTTTTGAGGAGTAGTAAGTCTAATGTGTTTGTTAGCCTAAAACACGTTTCGCTTCATTTTTTCTTTCTTCAGAAACTAGAAAGCAAACATTCTTAGATATTATCTTTCTCTTCCTCACAAACGTTCTTATTGAGTTTTCTTCAATGTTCTTTCATCGTTCTCCTTCCTGTACCGTTCATTTTTAGATTTTCTTCTCTTTTAGGCATTTTAACTGCTGAATCATCATTTGTTTTGTTTTGTAATCGAACGTTCCATTATAGATTACTTGTTTTAGGTTCTGCATGCGTAAACGCAGTACGCCGGCTGCCTTGCGCACGGCTGCACCAGCAGCAGCCATAGCACCTCATCGAATCCCAATACTTCGCACAATGTACATAGTAGCCGCTACGGTGCTCTTCTTCTTCCTCAACCTCTATTTTATCTACATTTACGTACAAAACAGCTCGAAAGACGATGTGATGAGGTCGTTTGAAAAGGCGGAGCTGCAGCAGCCGAGAGAAGAACCGCAAACGGTAGGTGTACGGTATTCTTTTGCTTTGTGTATGTATTGACTTTTATCCAGTCTCGACCAACCACACCTACGATAAATTTCCATTCATGTGACATCAGTGACCCATTGGCCCTTAGCGCTTTATCAAGAGCCAAAACGGAATCTTGTAGGAGGAAGGTAAGCAGATAATCTCAAAGGTTTACTTACAATATATCTTGCTTATGTAAAAGTGCGAATGGTATTTCTTTACCTATTGAACAGCAAATGACGCTCACTATCTGCCCTCTTCCTTTGTCATCCCGGAAACATTTTATGAAGCCTACAAGTCTAATGGAAACTTTGAAGTTTGTCAGTTTACGGGACTAATTGATTCTTTATCTGAGGAACACCATCAGTTACTGATTGATGAGTACTTGCCACATTACTTACAAAAAAATGCTTTGAAACTTCGAAGATTAGTGTGCCATATTCAGTCCCTTGTTTTACCTGTAGTCATATCGATTGTATCATGTTTTCTTCTTATTTTCCTTTGCAAATCCTCCCTTTTTTTGACGTTACCTTCACTTCAGCTATACGCACTTTTTTCCCACTTTTGAGGTATTTTTGGGGAGATGGGTTGCGTAGGTTTCTGTTTGCGAGTGTCGTGAAACTATATTGCTCTTTAGCACATGTTTCGCCTCATTGCGGAGGGGGTGTGACGGAAGAGCAG